CTTGGCGAATTTGGAGGCAACGTTTTTGTCGACGGAGACCCTGTCGGGGGGCAGCACGTCTCGCCACCCGCAGGACGGCGGTTCGAGTCCCCACGCCGGCGCCTACACGGTGTGTGGTGGGGGAACGTCTGGCCTGGGAGCGCCTGGTATGGGAGCGACTGGTATGGGAACACCCAATGTGGGAACAGGAACGCCACCGAAAGCCATTTTGGACGTGGGTGGGGGCCGAGGCGCAAGTGCGGAGGCGCCGGAGAGCGTGCACTCGCTCTCATCGGCACGGAGCGGGCGTGGGATCTGCCTAAGGGCACGGCCGACTCGGTCGGGGCGGAGTCCGGTCACTCTTGCCAGTCCCTCATCGATCCAGGCGTGCCAGGCCGTCAGTGCCGAGGCGGTCGGTTCGGTGGAGACAGCGAGCGTTGGTACGGAGACGGCGAGCGCTGCCAGTGGGACCATTTCGCCCCACCTCGTCATGACCAGTTGTCCTCTGGGCGCCCAGGCATTCTCGGCCTCCTTCATCGAGTCGCCTCTGCGAGCTGAAGCAAGCGCAGAGAGCGTTTACCACCCGTCCCAGTCACTGACGCCCTTGACGACGGGGATTGTGCCCTCCAGTCCCCGGGAGGTGGAGCCAGGACCCAAGCCAGGAGGGCAGCCAGGAGGGATGCAGCCCAGGCCAAGAGCAGGAGTGCACCCCGAGAGGAACATCCGACAGAACTTAGGTGTTGGCAGAACAATCAGCCGGTTGCGCAGTAAGATATCAGAACTGGGCCGACCCTCGCAGGTATCTGAGAATTCACCGGACTTCTCCGGGCAACAACACTTGAGTCAACAACAGCACTTCGGGCAACACCTAGGGCAACACCTAGGGCATCCAGACCGTATTACAAGTCTTTCCCTACGGCAGCACAAGCTGGAAGGCTTGAGGAGAAAGCTGGGTGAAGTGGAGAGATCGGTGCAGGTCATTTATCACAGGTACCAAATGAATCACGGAGGTCGAACTCCCCCCAACGTAAGCATCAATTTTAACCAACTCAAAAAATGTGCTCCTTTAGGAATCCGAACTTCGAGAGGTTACCACCCTTACTGCTCAACGCAGAAGCATCTTAGCCGCTATAAAACAAATTGAAGAGAGCTCTTCTTAACCCCCTCTTGACCCTGCACGCAACTCCACTTCGAAATCCAATTCAGCCACGAAGCGTAAGGGATGGTTTAGGAGGACGGATAACACCGGCCTACCGCACTTATATAGAGAGGTTCACACTCCCATTGCGAACAACACTCCCATTTGCTTGCGGATTTCCAGTTACTCGTTCATGGACGAAATCTGGCCTTTTAACTGTTGTGGTCCACTTTGATAGACCACAACTGTTAATGTGACCGGGTAGGCTAATGGTCCTGGACGCCACATCAAGGACCCCGTCGTCATAATGCTCCCATGCTCTTCGATCCAAGCCACCCCACCTGGGGGCAAACCAGTTGGTGACCGGATCCGTCATGGGCCTTAACTGCTAACCAGTAGGATATTCGTCGGCAAGGTATTTGTTCGTCGGCAAGGTGTTCGTAGGCAAGGTGGTACGTGTGTTAGTTGCTCAGGTAAATTGCTGAGGGTTAATGACTCGGTCAAGGGTTGGTCTTGACCTGGGTCAGGTCGGATCTGAATAAGTAGCCAAATGCGTAGGTAAAGAAGATGGAGGTAAGGTTGATTCGTAGTATGGTAAGAATGAGTATTGTAAGGAGCCAAAGTGCCAGAGGAAGGAGCACGAGCCCCGCTGCGGCATTGATGGGTGGCGGCGTGATAGCGAGCCCCTTGGATATGGAGTTGGTGAATAGGATGGCTGCGGAGGCGTGAAGAAGGTTTGCAACGAAAGTGGATGCAAATTTGCTGAAGGGGCCGCTGTCCGGATGGCCGGCCAGGACGAGAGGTAGTAGTAGGTACTGGAGGGGGCAAAGGACGATTAATGCAGGGACGAGAGCGTTGCACACTAAATCAAAACAGTATAGGAAAAGGTCTTGATCAGCGCCTGCGGAGGTTGAGGGACCGGTAGAGGCAAGAAGAGATCCATCTCCTGTTTTTTTAAACACGCGTGTGCCAAGTTTCGCCGTCAAAGATCCTTTCCTCACCTTACTCACTCTCTTTAAAATCAGGAAGAGCGAGGCGCTAGACATAGTTGTACCTAACACAAACACAGCCGCTGGAAACACCATGAAGCCTTGGAGAAGCGAGAAGAAGGAAATCATATTTCGATGTGTTGCATACACGGCCAGACCGTAGGTAAGTCCTGACGAAATTATCAAGTATACCAACAGCATAAACATGCCTGGATCGTCATGACCCAAATGACCTTTGACTCGGAGCCTCTGTAGTCTTGTTAGCGCTAATTTTTTTGGTTTCAATAACGCATATTCGAACTCCACCACTGCCTGGTGCCAGTCGATGAGGGTCCAAGGATGGAACAATCGCTTTAAAAAGGCTTGCTGGGTATTGTAGGGGGGCAACATTTTAGAAATTATACTCCCAGGAAGTTATCCGCCCTCTGAACACGACCTCTTAAATTCAGTGAGCCGCAGCCGCTATAGATCAAAGCGGGCGTCTTTCCTTTTAGATAATTTATATGGTCACATGAAGTACATGTCAGTGCAGCAACCGTCGGAGGCTCGAGCCAGCCACATTGCGAACATTGACAATCCTAAAAACGCAAAAAATACGAACACCCAACACTTCCGATCATACAACCATGATATCAGCACGGTACCATATCGTGATGCCAGCACTAAAGTTATGCTCTGTCTTTCAAACACAACAAAGGGCAAATACTCCCACCCCTGTCTATGACCGCCCCCTGTCTATGACCGCCTGGTACTGACCTCCAGCTATTGTAGAAACACTTACAGTGCAAAACAGGTAGTGGGTTATGACATAACCTCTCTGACCAAAACTAATAGCTATATATGTAGGAACATACTGCGGTCTCATAAAAGTCACTCTCGCAACCGAAGTCGCTCGGCCGACAACATATCGAACATATATCCGGTGTGCATAAGCTGGCGAGCACCCATGGGATCCCGATCAGCAGCTTGACGCTCATTGCACACGCGTGTGCTAAACGAAAACTTTTTAGCGGAGAAATGTCTGGCCATCACTTTTGGTCACACCAAGCTCCAATCACACTCAGTAGCCAAGTTGTAAGATCTACAGCACTGCTGCGGCTATGGGAGCACTGCTGTGGCTATGGGAGCACTGCCATAAGGGTGGTTGAAAATGAATGAAAAATCCATTTCCTAGCGCGATGGCATCACGCGACCAGGGGCACAACTATATTTGTAGGTGAGTAGTAGTACAATTTTGATAGAGCCCATTGGTCCCCCAAGGGTAACAATGTCAAAACAAGTTTCCTGTATGACTGTTCCGGCTTCTCCGATTTCATGTAAAGCGCGTCATGCAGCAGACAAGTTCGAATCAGAAACAGTGCGACCTAGGAGTGGGTCGGTGGGCAGCAGTGCTGATGGCAGTGTAGTAGTAGGCTCTCCTTGCAGTATCATGAGATCGGAAACTCGCGATACCCTGATAGATCTGACTACTGGGGGCGTGCTCATTGGCAATGCGAACATCGCCAAGGACCAGCCGAGTCCTTGGGTGCTCCGAATCGACTACTCCGGACCAATAGATTTCCACGGCCGCTCAATATCAGGTGACGTAGCCGCCTTCAAGAAAAAGATGAACCAGGTCAATGAACTAGATCTCATCAGGTCAGATGCCTACGAAGTGATTATTGAACCCTACACAGTGGAGAAGAACGACCTGGAGAAAAAGCACAATGCGCCTGGTTTTAACCGAGAACCTTTGCAGCCAATGCTGAGAGTCGTGCAGCAAGACCCGGAGCCGCAACAGACGTGTGTGCGGCAAACAGATGTGCAGCAAGTAGAAAAACAAATATCAACTTCCAAGGATTCGAAGGAAGATAATTTCAAGGAACACCATTCGAAAGAAGACTCTGGAATCGAGCTGGAAGCGAATGTAATCCCACACCCCAATAGCGCCGTCCCTCGTCCAGACGGAGAACGAGTCCAGTACGGCAGGCTGTTGGCCAGCACCGATCAATATGGGGCACGAGGAATTCCGTGGAGCGATTTTTCTCAACCTGGTAGCGGAGAGTACGCAAGTAGAGAGCTAGCCACCGGAGAGCTAGCCACCGGAGAGATAGTGGCCGGAGGACAAAGGGGCAAGCACCACGGGGGCATAGTTCTTTCTCGGGATGCGCCATCTGATTGGGAAGTCCCGCTTTCAACCAGGGTCTTTGATCCCCTGAGTTCCGCTCCCATGAGTTCCTCAACCATGAATGGAAGACACCGGGACATTTACATGACGGAAGGTGAACTGCGACCTACCTCCTTTGGACGCTCTTCGACATTTGCACGCTACGACAGGAGGACGATTAGCCATACTGACGGTCTACGGACCGCTGACGGTCTACGGACCGCTGACGGTCTACGGACCGTTGACGGTCTACGGACCGCTGACGGTCTACGGACCGCTGACGGTCTACGGACCGTTGACGGTCTACGGACCGCTGCTTCGCATCGTACCACACCCCCCCATAGTGACGCCCTACATGCCACCGGTGTCGGTAGTTCCATTTCAAGAGAAGGAGGAAGTGTTCTCGGTCTTAGCTACGAAACCAATCGACAGTCCTTCCCGTGCACTCCGCTACATAGAAGCGCCTTTTGCCACAGCCCTGTTGGCTCGGGCGCTAGTTCCTTGCCCCACGGATCAGCAACCCAGGAGTCATTACCTCATGGACTATTACCCATTAGATCATATGCTTCAGGCGATTATCTAAGCCGTTCCGCGCATGACGGAGGCCGCGACCAGGTGCTCAGGTATCGAGGACAGGACCTTCCTTACCATTCGAGCTCTGTCTTCGTTGAGCGGAATCACGCCACAAGCCTTTCCATGCCCGTAAGAACAGAGTCCCATATAGGGCCAGGTTCCATGGGGCTAGGGCCTGGACCGATGGGACCGCTAGGGCCAGGGTCCATGGGGCCAGGGTCCATGGGACCGGCCGCGGTACAGGGCCTACTGGAAGCTGTTCCGAATCCAGCGTCGTTACACACGGCCCGAAGGGCAGACGAAGACTGGCATTGGGAAGGCGGTACCCGAGCTCAAGCCCGTTACCGACATGCTTCTTCTCGGGCCACAGCCTGTTTCAACAGCGACTACGGTCGAGCTCCAGCTCCCTTGCGATCGCCTCACTTCACGGAAAACGCGGGATTGGAAGACCTTGGCTTCATTGACCCGAAAGTCTCGGACAAAAGTGGGGACGAAATGACCCCTCAGACAAAGGCTCGGGGCGCTCGTGAGCCTAGCTTGTGCAGCAATGGCACGTACGAGGACATAAGCCGACGCCCTTCCCGTAGCTCCTACGAAGCGCTACCACCTGATGTGTGCTCCTATGAAGAATGCTCCAATTTGCTTACAGTCTTGGACACCTCTTTAACAAAGGCCCAAGTCGTTTCCGATGTAGTTAACGAAACAATAGAGGCGCTCAGAGACGCCCATACGCATTACGCCAGATACGATCAATACAACCACGATAAGTACAACCATGATCAGTACAACCATGATAAGTACAACCATGATAAGTACAACCATGATAAGTACAACCATGATAAGTACAACCATGATAAGTACAACCATGATAAGTACAACCATGATAAGTACAACCATGATAAGTACAACCACATTCAATTCAATCGGACCCCACCGGTACTCAACCCTGTCCAATTCGCCCCTGCCGACTACTACAAGTAAGCAAATACTGGACGGAAGATCTACAGTACGGGACCCATTAGACGACTAAAAGGGAGATCACTGAAAGGGAATCCACTGCACTTTAGACCACGGCTAGAACCCTCTTAAGCTGTTCAGGTATTTCTATGTGTTAAATTGGCTGAGAAGAAGTTCAATTAATTTGGTTATTTCGAGCCCAGTTTCCACTGAAAGGATCCCAGCCATCGGAGTTGCCCAATCAGTTGAAATACGGAGAGGAGGCACGAGTAACAGGGTGAGAGTTTCGGCGATAGGCTAAGTAGTTTTTTCGTTATGACTTGTGGTGGTTGTATTGACAGGTGCACCAACAGAGAGGGTTGTTTCAGGGGCGAAGTCGGGATCTGGATCCAAGTGCATTTCGACAGAGACAATTCGGCAGGGCTTTCGGCAGGGGGGCTGTGTGCTAGCATTTATTAAGTTTGTCGGCATGGGTACCGGACACGTCGGCATTTCAGCATACGCCGTCGAAACAGCACAGGCCGCTACGAGCGAACCGGACGTAAGGGGTCCAACGGAGGAATGGTAGGCCAGGGACATGGACTGGCCGGTGGAAGATAGTCATTCGTCGTCCTCCTCCTCAGTCTCGCTGCGGTCGGAGCGCCCAAGCGCAAGTGGCTCATGCGTCGCGGTAACGCTGCTCGGTCGGTCGTCGAAGGCGGAACTGGGGCTCCCCTGCGCCCTGGGGCTACCCTGTGCCCTAGGACTATTCTGTGCCCTGGGACTGCCTTGTGTGAAACGCCTGTCCCCCGCACTCAACATGCTTCCCTCCCGAAAACCTCCCAAACCCGTAGCACTCAGTGCCGTAGCACTTAGTGCCGTAGCACTCAGTCCCGTGGTTATCGGGAGTGCACGATTGTCCATGCGACCCGGTTCCCCAAGGTGTTCCAGACGGAGTCCGGGGTCCGCCACACGCGGGACACCAACCTGGCCACCCCCGCCATAGGAGCCGGCGTCCTGACCACCACCACCGTGGGAGCCGGCGTTCTGGCCGTGTGACCGGGTTAGGGCATGACCGGCATGGTCGTTGTGCCTGTTTTCTTCGCTCGAGGTAAGTTCCTCGTCATCTTCGTCAGGCCAGTCTTCGTCTTCTTGTTTGGTGGGCACCCAGGCTCGACTGTTCGGCGGTTCCCAGGCGCGGTTAGAAGCAGGAGTGTGCGCGGGTGTTCGTTGTGACAGATCTTCAGCCCAGGTCTTCTTACTCAGGTCGGTATGACTACGTTGGCGGCGCCAGGCCACGCTCGAACGCCAAGTGCCCGACGAAAAGTCGTTGGCCAAACTACCCGAGCGTATATGCGCGCTCGCCGGAGGTAAAGGAGCCGTCGGGGCCGCAGAATGCCGCCGCCAGTGCGACGATCCACGAGGGGTAGGCGCCGGACCGCCGTGCAACTCGCATTCCGAAGAACAGTACATGCAATTGTTCGCCACGCAACTAAAGCGTGCGTATGTGTGACCGGGGGAGAGGAGTGTGACCGGAGGGCGGGGAGTGCTTACTTGATGTTGAGACGGCCGGTGACGACTTGTGCGACTTTGTTGAATTCGCGTGCCTGCAATTAGAGGTTGTGGGAGGTATCGTCTCTGGTACTAAGTGTAACCATGTAGTCGTTGGCGTCTACATGTCGCGAGACCCACTCATCTGCCTCTACGAAGGGGCGCGAGGAAGGCGGTGGTCTCATGCTCATGAGTCCGTCCATCGCCTGCGCTTCGTCCACGCTGGACATATTCGAACACGATAGCGGCTCCGGGCCGTCGGATTCTGGCGGTTCCAACGCAGGGTCGTCGCCGCCTGGGCTTTCCCTCGCCGCCGGCGGCCGCATCGCGGCCTCGCCGAAACCCATCACGGGACCCCCTACAGCCCCGGTACCAGGACGGCCGTTAGGACCAAGACCGTTAGGGCCAAGACCGTTAGGACCTAGGCCACTAGGACCCGGGAGGGCCACCCCTTTGCCCGGTCCTCCCCCTGGCGCCTGATACCGAGAGCTGCCGTCGACTAACACCGGACCCACCACGGGCACCTCGAAACCGCCAGCCCCGAAACCGCCTCCTCCTGAGGTACCAGCCCCCGAACCCCCAGGACTCGGTGAGTGTTCTCCTCTTCCGTGCACCTCTTCAGGTCCCCGACTAAAGCCAACACCTAACTCCGGAAATTGGACAACATCTTCTGTACTAGTTCTAGCTACACTAATATTCCACATTGACTGACTTGGACTTTGGTTGCTGTCCTCATTGCTTAGTCGTCGACTCGTTATCACCTTGCTTCTAGCTTTAAACCATATAGTTGGACTCAATGTGCGCTCATTCTCAGCAATAATTAGCGGACTGCTCATCTCAACAGAATTAGCCTAAACAACACTAACACTGCTACTGCTGAAGCTCTTACCTCTTCGTGGGGAATTAGCTTTGTCAAGCTAGCGACACGCTTCTTTACAATATCCGTTATTTCGCCAAGCTACATGGGGAACAATACCCAAACAGCGTCGTAAACAGGTGAGCAGGGGAGGGGGACAATATCATTGGATCATTGGGGGGTAACAATATCATTGGGGGGTAACAATAAATATCCCAGCGCTATGAGTCCCAGCGCGGTGAGTGGAAGCTTATGCACACAAGCTAAACAACGGATGGTCGAGATTTGATCCTCGAGTGGTGAGTGGGAGTTGATGGTTACGAGCTGCAAGCAGAAGTTTGGTTATGGTGGTGGGGGGGGTGTTACCTTCTTATGGTCCATTTTTGGGAAGCGGTTGAGTGAGTGGCTGTCATTAAGTTTGCTCCTGAGGAATTGTGGGGATGGGAAATCGGAGGCAGGTATCTGGTATCTGGTGGCGAGATGTTGGCAGATCTCTTCAAGATGATCAAGCATTTCCTTCTGTTTGGCTGATTTCCCTAGTATAGGTATTTGTCTTCTCATGTGATCGATGAGTATACAGTGTGTGTAGCATCTTCGCACACGTTTTAGAAAGTCGTCTATTTTTCGGGCAGCTGAACGTGCTGGTAGTGAGTAAATGAGTTTGAAAAGATCATCTGTTTCCTGCTCGAATAGTTTATAGACTTCATTGTTGGTGAGAGGTTGATCCCAGAAAGAGCCAATATAAATCCGTGGTACCTCCGGTGCGGCCATGACCTTGCCTAGACTCCACATGAGGGCTCCGTAAACGCGCATAAGGTGATGGGCATTGACAGAATCTGCTTTGTTAAGTAGTATACAAACCTTGCTTTCGAAGCCTTTCAATGCAAGAATGCAACGTCTAAATTCGTCGCTAATGTCCAGCTTGTGTGCATCAAAGAACAATAGCACCAAATCAACTCGCTCTGCGAACCACTTGATAACACCCTCGAAGTCATAACCACGCTCCCACTGCTTATTGCCCGCAAGCACCCCGGGTGTATCGATCAAAGTAACTCCTTTGAACACATGGCTCTTCACATGAACAACCTCAAATCGCGACAGGAAACCGGGTCCGAAAGATTCCAACTGCGACCATGGCAAATTCCGGTCCACGACAGCCGCATGCCCTGGTAAAACTTGCGCTGGTGCGTTACCCGAGTCAGTACAGTCATCCGAGTGACATACGGCCACGAACTTATCCGTTGTCGGCTCTGGGCCAATCCGCAAACCCGGATAGTCCTTCTCCAGCAAGTGCCGGATGAACGTCGTCTTCCCCGTCGAATACTGCCCCAACAACAACACCATCGGCTTCGCTTTGAAGTCACCATCCGTTAACGCCGGTGAATAAAACTGGTCGTACCGGAAGTCACGCTCAACTGGCAGTACATGCTTCTTATAGATCTCAGCCAACCCACATGTGATCGACTGGAACGATTCCATCGTATCTGCTCGACACGCCACACTACCCGGACTCACCGCCTCCAGACTGCGAGAAGACATCCACCCTTTCCACATCCTTTTTGGGAAATGACACGCGCAAAACTGTTGGTTTCGAAAAAGTTCTCAAGGCGACGCAGACGCGCTTACTTAGACCTGCCGTTCGGTGTTGATTCGGTCCCGGTGTGCTATCCATTCCCAGGTGAACGAACCTGCGGCGGAGGGACTAGCTGCCCGTCGCACAACTGCTTTATCCTCGGGACCTGGCGGAAAGCGCACGCACTGGCGCCCAGTACACTTTACGGGCTCAGATACTGAGCACAGCCGACCGCACGCACCACACATCGGCTAAGTCCCACTGGCCGGCTGCGTCACCTACCAAGTCACCACGGCGTGGGAGTCAATTGAGCTGCGCAGTCGCCGTCAGTCTCGGACGTCGACGGTGACCCGGTCGGCGTCGGTGGCAGGTTCGAGTCCGGGTTCCGCCGCCGGTGTTGTGGGTTGGTGGCTCGTTGCGGTGGCGGGTCGGAGTTCTGTTGGTCCGAAGGGGGGTCGCGGGACGCCCATCATGAGGACAGCATTACCGATGGCGGGAACGGCAGCGGGCGGGACGGCGGGGACGTTGCCGTCTACGCCGACGACGCCGCTTTCGCCAAGATCTTGGCGTTTCCGTTTGGCTTGGTTCAGGCCGATTATGGTCTTGAGATTTTTCAGGTTGTTGACGACGACCACTCCACCTGAGGGGTTGGCACCGACGGACTGGGGAGGCCTTGCGTCGCCCCGCGAGGTTTCGAGCAGTCGCTCGTTCAGGTCATCTAGCCCTGTGAAGGACTTGCGTTGGATTGTGACCTTCACCGGTCCCGCGGCGGTGGTGGAGCCGACGAGAGCCGCGGTTCCTGACTGGACAAGTGCGGTGCGCGAGCCGCCCGTGAGCGAGCCGCCCGTGAGAGGTTTGTCGGGAATTGCTCCGGCCAGAGGACTACCGCCGCTGGAAACGAAGGTGCCGCTGGCAATCGTGGGGAGACGGCCCGCTTTGCAAACGGGTGCGGGAGAGGCGGGGGAGAGGAGTTCGTTATTGTATGAGCTAGCGTAGTTATCAAATTCGTCATAAATTTCTTCCTGGATGAGTTCCTCGATAATGTCTTCGATGGTCGTGATGCCTACGAGCGCTCGGTCGTCTTCTGCGGCGGAAGCGTCTATGTCTTCGTTGGTTTCGCGCCCCCAGTTATGGATGTGCCAAAGTGGGTTTTGAGTGACAAAAGCCATATGTCGCCCGCGTTGGAACTCGTTCAGTAGGTCGTAAAGCGAGGTTTGTGGGTGGCAGAATATGGGCGCCTTCGTGCACTTGACTAGGTGGCCAACCTGCGGTGTCTCATGTGAGTCGATACAGATGAGTGACTTGACGTACAATAATCCTTTCACATTCCACTTGTGTGTGCGATACACCGGCACACGCGAATGCCCCCTGGCTAACAAATCCTGCCGCAATGCCACAGTCAACGGCTGTGTCTCCTCCAGCATAAACACATCATCAATGGGTACCATTACCTGTTGCGCACACTTCGATGCCAAATCCAACGCGCCCTCGATCACCACCACCTCATCTGCACATAAAGCCGATCCACCGTTGGAATTTACCGAATGGTGGCGCACAGAACACTCCTCACTATGCGAGTTCTTCTGATGCAATCTAATTAGCGCCTTCAAATGCGAACGGGCGTACAATGGCTGACCCTCAGACTCCCCGACCAAAAAATCCAATAAACGAGCTATCGGATAAGCCAAGACCCACAATGTAGATATCAACAATTGTACCACCGGTAAGCTCGACATCACAATCTTCATTTGATGCTTGCCCGTACATGCCGCCTGAGGGATGATCTCGCCGAACAATAAAATTAGTGTGACTGACATCGCAACGGCTACCACTTCTGACACACATCTACAAAAGAGGGTTCAAGAGAGGAGTTTTGGGGTTCAAGAAAGGAGAAATATGTAGTGCAAACGGTACTTGTTTAGGAATATGGGTAAAGCTTCGAGAGCAATACTGTTAGCTAACAATAGCGTAACTAGTATCAGGTGGTGGTTCGAAAGAATCTGGGCCAGTTTCATTGCCTTACGTCTCTCTTCAAGTGTTCCCTGATCTTGTAACACTTTCAACTGTACAGAGTCGATACTCAACATTCCTACCTAAAGAACAAGCTAGCCTGAACAAGTTAGCCTGAACAAGTTAGTCTGAACAAGTTAGTCTGAACGTCCCGTCCGTCAGTCTGAACGTCCCGTCCGTCAGTCAGTTGATTGTTCTCACCGTCATACCGGATACGAACCCGGAGATTAGGACTAATACACACGAGATCATAAGATCCCACGCTTGCGTCCACATGTTTTAAAAAAATCGGGTCTGGATTTCGTTCAATTCTGAAGCGCTAATGAGATCGAGATGTCTGAGTACAACGGCTAAACGCTCCACAAATGCGTCTTCCTCCAAACCGAACCAAACCACAACACCGTGTTCAACCAATAGACAAAACCGTCGACACCTTGAACCCATGTGATATGCACGTGCGTCCAACTCAAGCCCTAGTGTTGACGTTAATTTCCCCTGCCAGTCCGCAACCAATAGGAAATCAGGAGGACAGTTAAGCTCTGACGCCCATTCTGAAAGGACACACACACATCGACACACACAGCACGGAACGGAACGGGGTGAAACACGGGTGAAGCACGGGGTGAAGCACGGGGAAACACCAGAACGTTACCTTTTAATACGTAAGGATCATTGACAGCAACACACACTACCCGGTCAACAGCCTTCCTTAGTAAAGGCATAAAATCTCGGTAACCTGGTATGTGCTTTTCGGTACACGTAGGCAAGAAGGCACCGGGACAGCCTATGATTAAAACGCGTTGGTTCTAAAACAGGGCTCATTACCGTCAAGGCCGCTACGGTCAGGTCAGGACCGTTACGGTCAGGTCAGGACCGTTACGGTCAGGTCAGGACCGTTACGGTCAGGTCAAGGCCGTTACGATCAGGTCAGGACCGTTACGGTCAGGTCAAGGCCGTTACGGTCAGGTCAAGGCCCTTGCAGCCAGGTCAAGGCCGTTACGGTCAGGTCAAGGCCGTTACGGTCAGGTCAAGGCCGTTACAGCCAGGGGTCTCCAAACACCCGTCACAGCCGCCACCGCCCATGCTCAGAAGATATATCTCCCGTGGGGTGGGGGGTGTCCACAGTCACGTAAAATGTCCGCGGTCCCATGTTAGTTTCGAACGCTTAGAAGTCAAGCTTAGAAGTCATATCTCGGAGTCATTTTTCCATCTTTACGTAAGGTGTTTCGCACGAAGGATTTCGCGCGAAGCCGTTCTGTGGCACGCACTGGCTGATCTGTCGGCAGAGGTGTCGGGAGTGCTTACACTAATGAGTTGGCTAAGATACACTTGATCCTTGGTGCCGTTTATTGCGAGAGTCACGTCCGGCAGTTGCCAGTCGACTGATTGCCCCTCGTCCATTTTGAAAAAGAATTCCGGGGGGCGGGCCGATGGAGGCTTTGTACAATTCTCGGCACGCCGTGTGGAACGCATATGCGCGAGCAGAGCATGTGGAATTGTCGCATCGGATGCGTGGTCTTACTCAGGACACTCGTGCGACAGTGGATGGGGTACTGGATCCACGGACGATGCTCATCCTGCACAAGTTTAAAACTGGTGGCTACTACGACGAGATGGGTGGCTCTATCTCAACAGGCAAAGAAGCCAACGTGTACTCTGCAGTCGCCAGAATTCGAGTGCCCACGGCCACGACCAAGAATACTATGACTGGGACCACAATGGGCTTGACTGAGACCACAGTGGGCTTGACTGGGACCACAGTGGACTATGAAGTGGTGGAAGTGCCGCGGGCTATAAAAGTATTCAAGACGTCGATTTTGGTCTTCAAGAACCGGCGACAGTACGTGGAGGGTGAGTTCCGGTTTCGTCGAGGATATGTATCGGCATCGAATCCCCGCAAAATGGTTAAGCAATGGGCGGAGAAAGAGTTCCGGAATTTGCGCCGATTGTTACAAGCAGGGTTAAGAGCGCCGGCTCCTGTGTGTCTACGTGGCCATGTATTCGTAATGTCATTAGTGGGTCGCAACGATACGACACCGGCACCGCGTTTGCGTGACTATCCAGCAGCCGATGCACTCGAATGGCGCCGTGTGTATGTTGAAGTGCTTGCACTCTTGCGCTGCTTCTATCACTGGTGCGAACTCGTTCATGGTGATGCCAGTGAATACAACCTTCTATTCCACCAAGGACACCCTTACCTCATCGACGTATCCCAGTCCACTGACAGTGCGCACTGCCATGCAGAACGGTTCCTCAAAAGAGATTGTCTCAACATCACCGCCTTCTTCAAAAAAAAGTGCGAAGGCATCGAACTCTTAGACCAACTAGCAGACGACAGGGACCATGACAGTGATGACATATCCAGCGACGCGAATGACAGTCTACCACAGGGTACGGAGGCTCTGAACACGGAGGCTCTGAACACGGAGTCTCTGAACACGGAGTCTCTGAACACGGAGTCTCTGAACTCTCTGGAATCAGAAAGCGAAGGGGTGGAGGATGTGGACGAGGATGAGGACGAGGATGAGGACGAGGATGAGGACGAGGATGTGGACGAGGATGTGGACGAGGATGTGGACGAGGATGTGGACGAGGATGTGGACGACTCTCTAAGCGGCGGCTTGATGACCAAGAAGACCTTGAGGTTTGATCGCTCTCCTCGTGAAGAGTTTGGCGGTGAAGAGTGTGCTCAGATTCGCGAAAATGGCGGCTTGGCTCAGAATGGCGAGTCGGGGGTGGATTATTACAAAGGCGCTTCTGCATTGAATCGGTGGAAATGGGATGCACAGCTGGTTGAGGACAATGAGTGGAACAGGTTGGAGGATGTGATGTCTCCCGAGGCGTTGCGGAAACTGGAGGGGTTGGAAATAATGAGTGTGGAGAACATGTTCAAGTACGTCACAGCGCCGTCTTTGCGAAAGTCGACCGATACATGGCCGGAGTTCGATAGGGACGCGCGACGCCAGGCATGGAGTCTCGCGGCCAAGGGCGAGAGGTTGACGAACGAGCAGCAGCAACCGGTTGGTCAGCAATCGGTGGGTCAGCCGCTAGACGAGAGGAAGACCGCTAGTGCCAACATGTACGTGTTGAATATCGACCCGGTGGACCTGAATAAACGGGCCGACAAGTTCCTTGAAATCTGCGCCAGTACGTTGGATTATGTACATTCGTGTAATGGCAAAAACTCCGATGAAGATTTAGCCGTCTTTGTCAGCAAAACTCAACCTACGTCTCTAAAGGATCTGAGCACTCTTGAAGTCGAACGAGAATTGAAAGCAAGGGAACAAGGAACTGACACGCGATATTCGGACTATATTTCATCACAAACAAAAGCTCTGAAACAGGAATATCTTGAGGGCCAAGAAGATATTAACAGCCGTATTAATAGCGACATTGACAGCGACAGCGACAGCGAAGATGACGGTAGTGACGATGAGAATGCCCAGGACGAGGGCGCCATCCCCAAATTCGACGGCAAAATACCAGAAGGAATGGATCCTAAAGAATGGAAAAAAATGGTCAAAATTGCAAATCGAGAGAAACGTCAACATAAAATGAAAAAGAAGGACAAGAAACAGAAAATTAAGAAAAGTAAGAAGCGATGAATTATTTTTAGTTGCAAACAAATAACACACGCGTGTGCTAAAATGAAATTGAGGATTTTTTGGGGGCTTGGTTTTGTTCACGGATTCTCCTCCGGAGATGACATCAAGAAATTTATGTCTGTAAGCCAGGATGGTGAGCTTGCTTTTGTGAATAAGACTTCCGAGCCGTTTTAGTTGAGCTTCTCACTGACAGCATCTTAAACAACATCAAGCACTTCCGGAATGTGGGTGTTTTGATTGTGGGGAACAAGTTAACTACTAAAGACAGGGTGGTTGATGCGGGACTCAGCGATATTTCGTCGGTGGAGAATCAGTTCTCGGATTCCGCAGAAGTTACCAGCGACGTGCAGAAAGGTCTTGATACTATTTTCGACATTGAGCCATACGCTGGTCTGATCGAAAAGCTGCCAGCGGAATTACAGCTAAGTTTTTATGACGAGTTGCTTGCCATATACAATACAGCATTAGAAGTGCTTGATTCAATGCAAGATCGCGCAGACAAATATGCTACAAATCAACTCACGATCGAGAAGCCTGAAGAAGTCCGGGAGACCACGTCCAATCAGCTTGACCAAGACACAGATGAGGATCAAGAGGAGAGTGGGGATCAAGACACTGACGAGGACCAAGACACAGACGATGATCAAGAGGATAGTGGGGATCGAGATTAGGCCACCAATATCAGACCATCACAAAGGGGAGTCGATGGCAAGTCCGTCAAATATTGAGGGATATATGATTCGGGTCTGCGAGGTTCTGGGGTGTGGGATCGAACTCGGTGCCCCGCGGTCCTTCGACTGTAAGATGCTTGTGTCCTTCAGGATCGTGCTGGAATTTGAAAGCGAGGTACTCTTGGAGGTCTTCGTCGCTCATGCCCAGCTTTTTGAAACGGTCGATGCGATCTGGACCAATGCGATCTGGACCAATGCGGTCTAGACCAATGCGGTCTTCGCCACCAAGTCCCAGCATGCCTGCGGGTCCGAGGCCTTGGGGCATGCTTACGGGTCCCACAGTTGTGGTTCCGATTCCTCCTGTAGGTCTTCCGATAGTAGGCGGGTTCCCTAGTCGTTTTCGGAAGATTTCTACGGCAGCGTTTTCCGTGGCTCGGTCCCGAGTGATTAGAACTTTGCCGCCGTCAGGCATGTCTCGGACTTGGCTTTCTAGCCCCCGTGTCTTAGCCTGCATTTCGCGCAGGACATTATTCCAGCCTTTGCAGTCGTGCTGTTGTTCGCCCTCGCACGTTGAACAAGACGAGCAGTACGAGGATGAAGACGAGCCGCTGTCAACCGCTGGGTCCAAGTGACCGACATGGCTGGACTGAGCTCCTCGACCGCCGGAGGGGTCTCGGCCTCCACGACCAAAGTCTCCTCCACGACCAAGGTCTCGACCAAAATCTCCTGCCCGTCCTCGGTCATCGGCGTTATCCTCCCAGTGTACTTTCAGGTCTCCGAGTCTCTTGGGTCCGGTGGAGAGACAGGGTCGTCTGTTCTGGGGTGCAACGTAGGCTTCGCCCTTGTTGAAGTTGACAAGGCGTGGCTTCATGAAGGCAGCGAATGGTGGCTTCCAGAGTGTGCCACCTTCCTTCTCACTACCTCCTCCAAGGCCGAGGCCGGACCAGGCTGTAGTGGCAGGGGTCCGTTTGAATAGACGTGACCAGAGTCTTGGGGTGGTGTTAGGTTTTTTGTTGGTTCCAAACCGGTGAATATAGACGCCGTTGGTGGCGCCACCGGGGTCTCGTCCTCGGAGGGCTGAGTCGGCATCGACGATGGGAATGACGTTGTTTAGACTGACTTGTTGGCCTTGTTCTTCTTCGCGTGCTGGTGCGGGACAAAGCGCCTTGATTGATCGAGGTACGTTATCGAAATTGTTGATTTCGAGTGGCAGTGTGCGTTCGAGTGTCCGAATACGCCGTCGTACCACCGGGTCGCTGACGGGCAGGAAGGCCTCAAGATGCTTACTTCGCGGGTGACGTTGCCAGAGGTTGTAGCGGTTCACATGGCCCCAGTTGCTGATGGTGCTCCATCGGAAGATGTCGATGCCCTGGAAGAGAGCCAGCGGTGTACGAAGTGGGCCATTAATCCGAATGTCCAGCTCCTCCATGTGCAGCGTCAGTTGGATCTGTCTTAGACGTTGGATCAATGCAGGTAGGTACTCCCGACTTTGACTCTCCCGCACGACTCCGTAGGTGGCTGCAAGCAGCTGGCAGAACAATCTGGCGTACTGCTCCAGTCCTGGACTGGCATCTGAAGTAAGCCCGAGACCCCCGGGACCCATGTGGTTGAGTATGGGTAGAAGGTTGAAGTGTGTGGCGGCGAAGATGCCGATTACTTGTGAGTTCATGAACGTCTTGAGTTCCAGTCGCAACCATCGGTCGATCAAGTGTGGGTCAGTTTGTGCGTTCTGTGCGAGGGACAAGAAATACTCAGTCGCCGCTAGCTGAACAATGTCACGACCTGACTGGGCCTGGGCCTCACAATCGCCTTCGGTCATGTAGCTCGTGTCGGCCCGGATCACGTTATAGACCCGTGGGATGAGAGTGTCATAGGGATAGCCGAAGAACTCTTGCAGATCTTGAACTAACTCGCACTCTACCGGATCGCTACAAGAACGGAGTTTCTGAACATCATAGATATGATCGATCAGCACGGTCGCCCAATCATAAATGAGACCGGAGCCTGCAGCCAAAGCGTCGGCATCCAGTGTGTCCTGATTCGCGGTCGACAGCATTTCGAGTTTGCGCGTGTTGGCAGTGGCCGTACGCATGAGACTGTGTGCCTGAATGCTGTATCCGATTACGGCCTTGACGTAACGGGCACAGGCAGTGGCTGTCTCCATTGATTGCGCAGTTGACAAATATGTTCGGGCAAATACACTAAGGGAGCGCAAACTGCAACAACGATCCGTTCGCTTCAGAGTCCAGATATAACGGATCATATCGGGGGGGTAGCCGCGTTGTAAGTCGAAAGGCATTTTGATCGGTGAGTACTTCTCACTAATGTAAATTTGGCACATCATTCCTAATGCTTTCTCACCCAATACTGCCAGCCGCTCGTAGATACCTCCCCCGCCGTGTGCAATGTCAGCGAAACACTTTTGGAAGTCTAGTGACGGTAAAGAACGCGGCACGTACCCAAACCATGTCTTCAAATCCAACCAAGTCGAACAACGACGGTCCGGACAAGGCAGGTCGTTCGACGAATCGTCGAACTCCGGCACGTAGTCAGCCAGACCTTGCAACGCAGCCGCCTTGTACGCCGCCACAGATGACAACGGACAACCCTCCTGATGCTGCATCCCCTCACACACTCTGCACCCTCAAATAAGGGTGCTCAACCCTCGGGTAGGGTGCTCATTCTATATGCACCCTTGGTCACCTTTTCTGGAGATAATTCTTCCCGACCCTTCTAAATGCTTCGATATCTAACACGGTAGTGCGATCAACCATTCCCACAGTGTATGTGTGCAGACCTGAGGACAAACGGGAATGGCTGAAGAACGATGACTCATGTGTGATAACCCTAGAACGAGGTCAACCGGATACCACCAGCACGCCGAAGCTGGCCGATTTGGAACATGTCGTTCAGCCGGTAAGCTGCTTGTCGTTGGTGACCGATATATTTGTAGCACCGCTTTGCAGGAACGCCGAGCATCCTGGGACGAGGAACCTACGGAGTAGTTACGTTGATGAAACATAAGCATACCGGAAAACTATATGCCGTTAAGACTGTAAGTACTGCCACTCATGTGTGGGAGCACTCATGTGTGGGAGCACTCATGTGTGGGAGCACTCATGTGTGGGAGCACTCATGTGTGGTAATTACTGATGTGTGGCGAGCACTGATGTTTGGCTAGCCGGGTTAGTGATGTATTTGATTTTTGTTTAGTTGGAGAAGTCTATGGTGAAGAGTACGAATATGACGTGCCAAGTGCAGCTGGAAATAGCTGCACAAATGGCCATGGACCATTGCAATGTGGTGAAGTGTTGGAATGTGGAGATTGAGGATGACCATATACATTTGATCTTGGAGTACTGTTGTAATGGAGATTTATTTAAACGTGTTCGAGGAGCATCTAATCGGCACTTGAATGAGCGCGAAGTATTTCGTTTGTTCCTGCAGATAGTGTCTGGTGTGCATCATATACATTCATTAGGATTCTGTCATCGAGATCTGAAGTTAGAAAACTTGCTACTGGATGAGCATCACAACTTGAAGATCGCTGATTTCGGATGGGTATCTAGAATTAATGGTTTCCGACGTAACTTTAATTTTTGTGGTACTCTTGATTATCTTGCACCCGAGATGATTACGGGTAGTGGACATGATTGGCGTGTGGATATATGGGCTATAGGTATTTTGTTGTACGAGTTGAGCTGTGGAAAACCACCATTTCTATCCACATCACATTACGAACTTCTAAACAGAATCCTCAATGTCAAGATTCATGATGATCACATAATCCCCGTTACATTACCCACTATCAAACCCGACTGCTTGGATGTTATCAAATACCTACTCAGAAGCGATCCTCGAACCAGAATAGATTTGCCCGACCTCTTACACTTGCCCTGGATACATCGAATGCTCAAACAAGAATATCGGGCTTTCCTCCAGACCTTGCCGCTAGAACCTGCTCCAAAATCTACCACCAAAGAAGCAATTCAAGCCTCCTTCTGCAAATGCAGAACCGATCACATCCGCTCAGATCACCACCCGTCACACCACCACCCGTCACACCACCACCCGTCACACCACCACCCGTCAGACCACCATCGTTTCGGAAACAACCTGCCGCCTGACCGACCCAGAAAGTCTGAACCACCAACCAAGTCAGAACCACCAGCCAAGTCGGAACCACCAGTTAACTCAGAACAACCGGCAGAAACCACGACGCCGAGTCGGCCACGTAAGTCCGTGTGCATTCCTGACGCCAGCCGACCAGGAACTCTTTCAAAGACGGAACGATCTCAGCAAGAACGATCTCAGGTCGAACGATCTCAGCAAGAACGATCTCAGCAAGAACGATGTCAGCAAGAACGATGTCAGCAAGAACGGTCTCAGCAAGAACGGTCTCAGCAAGAACGGTGTCAGCAAGAAAGATGTCAGCAGCATCGGTCCCACCAAGACCACATGGTCCCCCACCCGGTGCAGCCGAGGAATCGGGCCGCGGATGCCTCGCAACCGAGTAACCCCATACCGGGGGCCCGCGGCCGCCGTGAACAGCGTCTCCATGATTTGGAACCCGATAACCAGTGGCTCGAGTCGAGCCACCAGCAAGATCGTCAGGAAGACCGTCAGGAAGACTGTCAGGAGGACCGTCAACAGGAACATCCAGAGGATCGTCAAGGAGACCGTCAGGAGGACTACCTTGGTAACGATGCCAAGCTGGCTCACAGTATACGGTCGCAGTACCCGGACGACACAACCGACGATGATCAGGGCTCGGACGGCCACCAGGGCACATGCGAAAATCGATCAGAGGATCCCTCACCGGATGCACCTCACCACCCTAATGGGAACAATCCTAATGGGAACAATCCTAATGGGAACAACCCACAGAGGAACAACCGTGGTGGAAACAACCCTTCGCAGGCTGCGAGGTACGAGCCTGCACGACGCCCATCTGGTTTTGATGGACTGTTCTACGGTGGTGAAAACGGGGGGGGTGGTGAAGACCGAGGGGCTGCCCGAAATAGCACAGTCCACAGAGGTCGACGTGAAGAAGGCCAGCCGACGCAGCCTGCAGTAGACTACCATATTTCGACTGAGTATAACGTCACAGGAGACTGCCGGGCTTGCGGACAGGCAGGCACGCAGCTTCCAGAAAAGTCGCTAGTGCTGCAGTCGACGGCACGCGAAGAATCGCAACAAGGCTCGTTTCAGGAGGTTTTGCAAGGCCGCTCTTTCAATGAAGTCGGTAGTAAGATGGACCTCACAAGCCCTACTCCTGGAGGCGGTGTGAGCTCAAGAGGAGGACTTAGTTCCAGGGGTGAGTTAAGCAGTTTCAGAGAAGAAGCTTTAAACTCTTCGAGGAACAGCTCCTCGAGAAACGGCTCCTCGAGAAACGGCTCCTCGAGAAACAGCTCCTCGAGGAACAGCTCCTCGAGAAACGGCTCCTCGAGGATCGGTTCACCGAGTGCCAGCTTTCAACGGGGGTCCAGGCAGGAAGAAAAGAATATGAAGGAAGCAAAGGGTCTGAAGGAAGCAAAGGGCCTGAAAGAAGCAAAGGGTCTGAAGGAAGAAAGGAGTCTAAAGGAAGAGAGAGGCATAAAGAGGCGAGGGAACCGCCTGGACGATGCCCATGTCCCGAATTCTAGCCGCGTCGTGGAAGGAACCCGACCGGTGGAGGGAACTCGACCGATGGACGGAGCCCGGCATGAATGTTTGGTTGACGATACCCGAATTTTGGAAGACACTAGGTTCCTTGAGGACTCTCGAGGAAGAGAAGACGGCCGAAGACGAGAAGATGGTCGGGGACTGGTAGCTGGAAGCTTAGTCAGTGTTGAGCCACTAAGGGTTGGTGGTCGTGATCGAAGAGGTTGGGGCACGAGTGGTGAGGACTCTAGTCATCGGGAGGAGTCGAGTAACCGCGGATCCGTGGACAAGATAGTTAGCAAGAAAACGGACTTTTCTGAGAGAGACCTGCCTTTTGGGGAAGCTGTAGGCCTCACCGCTGCGGACCTTGCCATGCCCCCTATGCCCCGGAATATGTTACCTAACGTGTTACCAAATGTGTTACCGAACGCCTCACCGAACGTGTTACCGAGCGTGTTGCCAAAAATGCTACCGATACAGATGTTGCCGAACATGTTGCCGAACATGTTGCCGGTGCAACCGAGTGCAAGAAGTGTGCGCCCTAGCACACTTGGAGACGCGAGTCTACTCGCCACTGAGCTGAAGGCGGCAGCCCGAGGGAAAATGACGAGTCAGCTCAAGACAGCGAGTCAGCTTAAGGCGGGCAATCCGGTGAGCAATGCGGCCGCTGCGGTTTACCTCGGCGTCCCGGCAGGACCTGCAGCTGCGGCCAGCGCCGCGGGTCTGATCGGGGGCGGCGCTCAAGAGTGTGCTCTTCCTTCCGGCGCTTTTGCAACAGCAAATACCTCCGTTGGAGCAAATACTTCCGTCGGAGCGGCGAATGCGTCTGGCGGAGGAAGTGGTCCATACTCAGGTTCTTCGGAAGCGTTGGATTTGGGAGGTTGGAAGTCAGTGCAGCGGGGGTCGGTGCAGGCTGAAGTGCCGCCAGTTGTGCGGTCTTTGTCGAAGCACACTTCGTCTCCGTTCATTGCGTCCTTTGCGGGTGGTTGGCCGGAGGGTTTCAGTGGTGGTTTGACGAAGCTTTCACCTTCGCAACGAACGGAGAGGCTGCAGCCGGGCCGGATGAAGAGTCTTGTGGGTAAGAGCTTGGTCGGCAAGAATCTGGCGACTACCGCGGAAGATGATGACGACGATGATGATGAGAGCTCTCGGTTCGCTGTCGCTTCCGTTATCCATCGCCAACTCCCTGGCCGCTCACCCAGCAACAGCGCTGTCCGCTCGCCTGTCTGCCAACCTCAGTTCCGGCTCAAACAGGCCAGCGGCGTACGAGACGCCGGCTTTCGGGACACAAACCCTGTAACCAACGCGCCCTCCTCCTCTGGGGAAGAATCGATGACCTTGCGACCAAGAGTTCTCTCTGGCGAAGCCGCGTATGAGAACAGCATATGGGCACCGCTAGATGCGAAGCATATAACCAATAATGTAACCACACACCAAACTTAAGGAAGCCCATACGACGACCCCACACTGTGAACCAACACAACACAACCAACCCCGTTTAATATGGCACCGCGGAAGACAGCACCGCGAAACATAGACCAATTCAGAATTCATTCATCAAACCATTATTCAATTAATTTTTGAGACGCTTGATGTTCTTATAAATGCGCTCAGGAGGAGGAGCCTGCCGCTTTTCCGGGGAGGCAGTGCACTCTGGTCGGGTGGCGCTACTTTTCTGTTCTATTTGCATAGCTTTCAATACTTTAGGCATAATCGCCGTTAGCTGGCTGAGAATCTTCTCCCCCGTCAGGCCGATCTCCTTCCCTACAGCATCGGCCCCTTTGCATTGCAGATACATGCCTACGAGCACCGTCCACTGCAAGGCGCTCAGGTTAAACCGGTGCGTTAAAGTGTGTGCACACACTTTTGGCAAAATACTTCTGCAAAGCGCGCGGTCGCATTTCTGTTTCGCATAGTTGTTGAGACGGGTCTTCTCGACTTCCGACAAGTTCGCGATAATCTTTACGCACGAGGGGTTCGCCAACAGGATTTCGGTGAGCAGTGCTGATGGCAGATCCTTTTCCGGGCTCATATGCGCGGTCTGCACTGTTCGGTGGACGAATTCATTGATGAACGGCTGGCTCGCATCGTTTTTCTGAAGCAAAATACAAGATACCTCTCCTGTCGCATCATTTTTGGACGTGCTCAAATGCACGATGTCGAAGCCGCAGGCCCTCCAAAACGCATAGAGCTGCGGCGTGAGGCCAAACGCAGTGCCAATCCAGCTCACCCTCTTGCTATAAGGAGAATCAATCACAAGCTTGCTGGCAGCTGCCCCGTCAGTTGCCTCTTTTACAACCCCATTGCCGCCAATCAGCGCCTGTGTGATGGCTTGAATGAGCTTCTTGCCTATGCCCCTCTTCCTCCATTCCTCAAGTACGCATACCCGGACAATTCGGATGCCGACAGCTTCCAGCTTCCAGACAGACCCGTACCACTCGGCCATTTTCCATGCGATTATGTCACCGTGAGCTGCATCTCCCTGCGCCGCTTCCTGACTTGGAATGCCCCCTTCGAAAGCCAGTTGGACAGCACCCACGACATGGCCGGCAACGGTGGCAGTAACCACCTCATGTGTTGGATTGTCAGCCAAGAGCAAGATGTCATCCGGTGAGTTCTTGTAGTGGCCCAGAACAAAGAGAGAAATTAGCTCTCGAAGTAGAGGTTCTTCTCTCCCTGAAAACAGCGCCTTCTTGTCCTGATGAGCGATCACAATTTCGTCACTATTCCCGCCTTGCTCTTTGGCAGGTGTCCCAGTTTTGACTTTTGGTTTGGCCGGCAGTATGGGAGACTCGCTGAGCATTTCCAGGTGAAAGAGGTCGTAAGTTAGTCGTTCTAGAGGGTCGTTATCGCGGTATCTGATAGGCGCAGTCAGTTGGAGATGATTGATGTTTCCTTGCAGGTTGTCGAGCAACTTGACGCTGAAGCTGCGCCCCGTGCCTTCGTAGCCACTAACTGTTGAGGCCAGCACGATCATTGCCTGTCTGTTTACCTGAAAGATCTGCTTCAGGGTCGCCACGGGTATGCCAGCAGCCTCATCGATCACTATGACATCCGCACCAAGGTCATCATCAGCCAGCCGTCTGGGCGGCACAAACAGCTTCGTCGCTGCGCCCGCCCGTCCAACTCCGACGCCCAAAGCGAAGAAGGAAACGACCGTCTCCAAAGCCTGCTTATTCGGGGCACTCATAAGCACCTTCTTGTTCTTTGCCACCATCACGGACGCAAACAGACCCAACGTAGCCGACTTACCTCGTCCTCTCGCAGCCGTAACCACTACACGAGAACGGTCCTTTTCGGATAGCCTCAGGAGTTCCTGCAAGCAACGTTCTTGATCCGGAGTAGCACAAAGGGCTTTGAGCTCTACAGCTCTATCGCTCCCCTGCCCTTTACCGCTTTCTGCCCTGTCCCCGGCATTATCCCGCAGCTCGGCATTATCCCGCAGCTCGGCATTATCCCGCAGCTCGGCATTATCCCGCAGCTCGGCATTATCCCGCAGCTCGGGTGCATGGGCTAACATCTCAGCGGCAAGTATGGAGGTGTCTCCAGACGGGTGTTGCAGCTGAAGTCTGGAGTCCGTAACAATAACGCAGGAAGAACGTTTTATCAATTTGCAACAGCGTCTGGCCATGAGAGAGTCCCACTGAGTTTGCCCAACCAAAGGAGTCTTAAACTTGTTATGCGCCCGAGGCTGTCCACCACCGGGGACTAAAATACAGAGCACACCACCAGTTCTCAATGTCTCTGATATTTGACAGAATGCGTTGGGCGTGAGAGAGTAGGCGTCATTCATAATGATGGCGTCGTAAGTCTTACCCAAACATTTCGACGCCTCGACATACATCACCGTGTCCCCTGGAAACTTCGGCCCCTTCTTTCCCTTCCACACACAGTGCAACAAACGACCACCGTCTCTCACGGTCTCCCTACCACCTCCAATAAGGACCTCGACATGTGGTTTTAGAACTGTCAGGGCACATTCTAGCGTCCCGTCATTGAACAGCCAAAGACATCGACACCCATGACCAGTTATCCGGCGTATTTCATTTTGGATTGAGAGCTTCTGCGCCCTTACGTCTGGCGCGGTCATGGTATAAAAATAATCTAACCTTTTCATACGGCCAACTAGCCATTCACATGGTTGTTCGGCCAGTTCTAACTAACTAACTTAAGGGTTCTCCCAAAGACCGCCAGGTTCTCCCAAGCACCGCCAGGTTCTCCAAACACCACCTTACCAGAACATCCTGCTCCCGGACGCGTGACCGAATACTCGGCGTCCAATGTGGCGTTTGCACACGTATTCGTGGTTGCGTTTAATACCGCGAGCCAACTGTCGTATATCGAGACCTAGCGTACTAATGTAGGCGAGCAAACATGTAACGCTCATACGCTGCACTATACCTGCCTTGTCTATCGGGTTTCTACAAGCAGGCATATTCACCGCCCAGTCGAGCACCCGCCCAGTGGAGATTAGCTTGGTGATACTTACAGGGATTTAGTGATAGGATGAACCCACCAGAATACAAGAGGTATCGTGCCGAAGAGTATCTTGAGGAAGATACTCATAAATGTGGGTTCGAAAGTCCTGGGTGCACTGCCGCATCCGTTCACCAGGAGCGACCGGGTAAGGAGCCAGATAGTGAACACCCAGGCCGCTAGGAGGCCGACGACAATAAAGACAATTATTCCGAGCGAGTGGAAAGTAGCTTGCGCGCTGGCTGAGATTTTGCCCGCAGTGTGACACTCGGAGTAGCTCGGGTCAAAGCTGTCTGCCAGCGACACGGTAAAGTCTCTGGTCTCAACGGGAGGCGGAAGTAGCCCCAAATAGGACATAAAGTCGTGCCGCTCCACCATTCGCCACAACCGATTTTTGGACGACGTCGGACGCTCCTGTTTCGGATCCGAGTCCCGGGCTGGCTCTCGTGACGAGGAAGAGCGATCCTGCAAGATACGCCTTGTGGGCGGAAGCGAGGGAGTTGGGTCCTGCAGTAGCCCAACCATGTCCGTCGCCGCCGGGCTGTGCCCTGTTACGTCCACCCAGATCAGCGCCTGGTCGAAAGCCAAGGGCGAGTACTCTTCCTCTTCATCCTCGCGAAATGGCGCTCCCGAATTCGACCGAACAGTCGGACCGCCATCCCAGTCGTCGGCACTGTTCAGCACTACTCCAGACGCCTCCTCCTGTACTTCCATGTCGCCGTCGTCGTCGTCGTCAGTGCCGACATGGGCCGTATTCGTGTCGTCTTCCGTCTCATCTTCGGCGTCATCTTCGGCGAAATTTACCGCGTCATCTTGCACCTCGATTCCGGGAGCGTCGGGGGCGGTGGTAGTCACGAGAATGCTGGAGTCGAGGGAGGGAAGGTGCACTCCTTCTCGAGCCAAGTCGTTTGCGGTGGGAATTTCGACCTTGTAGGGCTCCAGGGTGCCCCCGTGTGACCGGTTGTGTCCGTCGAGCGCGAAGACGCGGTCGACCTCGCTTCCCACGAACTGGTCGTCCACCTCGCTTCCGGCGTTTTGTTCCCTGCTTTGTCTAGAGGCGCTGGAGAGGTTGACGACGGCATGCAGGTCGGCGCCGAAGGGGCTCGCGACGATGCCGGTGGGCGCAACAGGTGCGTCGAATTTGAGTCGTTGTGCGTTGAGACAGGGTGCAGCCAGTTCGCGAAGAGCGGTGCTGGGGATCGGCACGAGCGCCTGTGTGAGGAAGCCGAGCAGTGCCACGAGTGCGAGGCCGGTGGTGAAGGTGAGCATGGGACGCCGCCGCAGACCACCGCGCGTGATGCGGCGACTGCCTCTGGACAACGGCGACCCGACCCGCCGATTCCATGTCTGTGGCGATATCTCCCCCGATATATCCCCCGATATCTCCGCCACCGAACTCTCCGCCGAAGTGTGTGGTGAAGAAGTGCGGGGGGAGCTGCCACCGGAATTGCTCGAGCTGGATGCGCTGCTGCTGCGCATGAACGATTCCAGTTGCACTGGCGCGCCATGCGGGATATCGCGGAAGACACTTGCCGGCAGCCCGCAGTAAAAGTCGCGGCTCCGGATCTGGAAGTCTTTCACCGCACGCCGCATCGCATTCGCACGTCGACAACCCGCGTAGGTCAGAGCCAGCGCCGCGATACAGTGCAGCCAGTACTCCGGAGAGTTTGTGTAGGTAAACGACAAAGGCGCCCCGCGAAACTCGAGCCTGAAAGACAAACCAGTCATGGCTAAACCCTCTGTTCAACCCTATGCTGTCTGACCCCCTGCACTTGGACTGGCACTCCCACCCCAGGGATGCACACCCGATTGTGTTGTTCCTGCTTGTGTTCCCTGCACACGTGTGTCTTTGCACACGTGTGTCTTTGCACACGTGTGTTCCCCGCACACGTGGGCGTGGTGTAAGCGGTACCGGTCATCCACTCTGAGGTGGTGGTTGGAGATGGCCAGTGCGTGGCAGAGAACCAAAACTGCGGCGTAGAGTGCTGCCAGAAAGAAGGGGTACCAAGATGCTGTAGCATCAAACAAGGTCTTTTGGAGTGTAATCCGAGTTGCCCAAGGCAGTTGCAGCCTGGTGGTCATTTACGTGACAATTTTTAATCTGCGAAGACGAATAGTAACTACTCACTATCCCAACCCCGCTACACTGGTTTCTATCAATCGTTCTTCAGTGTCCTCTACTCTCCCTGTACAAGAAGATAAGGATAGACCAACGGAGGGGCCTTTGGCGCTGTTGCAGAGTTGTGTGAGAGATAATTGCCAAGTCCTCGTACTATGCCGGAATAATAGGAAAATTCTCGGACGCGTGAGACCTCTACCACATCACGCTGAACCCCCC